AATGACTTAACAATGTTATCACTGGGTTATGGAGAACAAATCTGATGAATGAGGATCTGTAGGATGGCTGCTTGGTTCTCTGCATTTGCTGATTGAGGAACCACAAGGCCAGGTTTACTTGCCTTCGACTCATAGCTGACACGCCACTAAGTCTTCAGAGGCTGTAAATGGCCCAGGAGGAGACTGTCCATCTTTCTCTACTCAGCCACTGGCATGGACAGGCCTTATTGGCCCAGGCCAGTGGGTTTCAGGAGGGAGAAGCTCACCTTCAGGGGGAGGGTCCTAGGAACATAGGCAGTGAATGGCAGGGGGCATCTCAATGACACCCTCCAGCTGTTGACACATGAGCCACCCCTTTGCCCATCTCTCCAGTACACCACTGCCACCCTGGATGACACAGTGGCCAGACAGGAAGGCAATGTTCAGTGACCCTGGACTCTTTCTCACCCTCTGAAGTAAACTGCTTAAAACCTCAGAGGGAGAAGTGAAAAAAGGCATGGGGAAGCTCATGGCCCGAGTGGCCGCTGAGCTGGAGGTGAAGGGAAGGGTGGGCTCCCATTCCCATGTAGCCTCTCTTCCCGACGAGGACTCTGGATCCTCCGACAGAAAGCCATGGAGCTGGTGAGCCTAAGTCTTACCTTGCAGAGGCCTTGGGGGGCAAGCTGACCACACATGGGGACAAGTGACATGGTCATAGTGGGGGGTGGGGGGTAGACATGAGCCTGGCACGGGTCTGTGAGGCCCCAAGCGCAGGGCAGTTTGACCGGATGTGCTGGCCACAGTGTGCTCTGGATCTGCCTCGTCTCCACCTGTCCAGCAGCCACCAGCATCATCCACAGGATTTGACGCCAGGAACACTTAGTCGTCTGATATCCACGGATGACTTGTCTTACAGCGTGACAAGAAGACAGGACCCTGTGCAGGGCCACACGTCTCACTGGGCCGTGGCCAAACTCTTGTGCTTCTCACAGACACAGCACCTGCTTTGCTCACCGGGCACAGTGGCCTGTGTGGACTTAACACCATGGCCGTCAGCCCAGATCTGCGCTGATTCGCCATGGAGTTGGTCTGACTCCTGTCCTGTGTCAGTCCCACCAGCTCTAACACACACACTTGAGCCCACTGCTACTGTCACCATACTAATTTTTTTCTTTCTTGGAATTCAAACCAGGTTTAAATTTAGGAAAAAGAGATCAAGGTGGCTGACGCTCACGATATCAACACACTTGTAAATATTCAGAGACACCATGGTGGCCTAGTGATGAGGTTCCAGATCCCCAGACAGTGAAGACAGGGAGCGGGGCCCACGTTCTCTGGAAGGGGCCATCTGCCAGCCTCAGGGGCGCTGTCCCTGCACAGGTGACCTCTGCTGTTTCCATCACTGTCCTCACACCTGAGCCCTGTGTGCTGCTCTCTTGTGTACCCACCTGGTCTGGAGATGGTTGAGCTCACATTTCCTGGTGGTCTTCCACAACAGAAGCAGAGGTCTCCATTAACCTTACCCAAGAAAAGCCAGCCTCAGTCTATGCCAGCTGGAGGAGGTGGTGCTGTGGTCAAGGAGCTACAGCCCAGCCTGGCTGATCCAAATGGCCCACAGCAGCAATGGGGTGGACCTGATCTACTCTTGCTGGTGAAGACAGCTGACTGTGTGCCGCATGGGAACAAGGGGACAGAGAGCATCTGCGACTATTCATCTACCACACACTCTGGCCACACCCGATTACTTTAATCACCACCACCAGAAAACTGATCAAACATCCGGTAACAGAAAGGGCCTGAGCTGGGGTGAAGCCAGAGACAGAAATGGAGACAGGCCAGCAGCCATGCTGAGCTGTGAGCCATGTGAGAAACCGAGGGTCAGGAAATACCAACCCACGGCCTGGGACATTCTCAGCGGCTGCCAGGTCAACTCCAGGTGTGTGAGGCTCAACTGCTCTGCACGGCTTTCGAGGTGCTGACCTTTTGGAAGATCACTGGGCCTGCCTTCTGGGTGGTTCCAAACCGCCAACCTTTTGGCCAGTGGTCAGCATTTGGCCACGTATGCAGCGCAGGGACTTGACTGCGAAGCTCAACACCATTCTCACAGGAGAATGTCTTAGCGTGCAGACACACCTGTCCCGCCTTGGTTTTTAATGTAGCTATGAAATTAATTCCTAAAAAACGTCTTGAATAATCTTGAGGATGTTTCCTGAATGTCATTACAGGTAGTGCTTGACTTACAATGTATCTGAGTTACAATGAATAGGACTCATGACTATTCTTTTCAGTTTTATGTATCTTGTGAGTAATATGTTGCAGTATGCAATTTGCTTATGTTAACACTCCTAAATGCTCAATTTCATGATTGTTTAAAACCTTACTGTGCACACCAATGTTTATTGCTGCTTTGTTCACAACAGCAAAGAGATGGAAACTCAAGTGCCCATCAACAAGCACATGGATAGAGAAGCTGTGGTGTATTCCCACAATGGAATACTATGCAGCACCGAAAAATCAGGAACTAATAAAATATTCTACAAAATGGGTGACCTGGGGAACATTATCCTGAGTAAAATATCTCAGTCACAAAAGGACAAATACTGCATAATGCCACTGTTATAAAACAGGACTGACATGGTGGTTGGGGAGAAACTAAGAGGAGATAAATAATGTACACTGCATTGAAACTCATAAGGGAAAGAACTGTTTAAAAGGAATATGTGGTTAGGTATTATTTGTATGACAACAGTCCAGAATAAGAGCTGCATAGCAAAATAGACTGGGGGAGGGGGCAGGGGAGAAAATTGTACAACAATGAATGAATTTTTTTTCAAAGAGGAAAGCAAATGGGGGAGGGAGGGCAAGGAGGAAAATGTACAACAATGGATGACTGGAAATCCAAATTCTCTATAAACTTTCCTTAAAATAAAAAAAAAAAGTTTTTAATCCATGTTGAAACATTGTAGGACAAATATATTTTTACTTAAATTATTTTCAAGATGTAACTTTTAAAAATTTTCTTTCACTGAACTGTTATTTATGTTCCCAGGTACTGTATTCTCAATTATTTATAATAAATTACATAGTTACTAGAAAACAAAACTAAACAAAACAAGAAACCTTGCTGGATTTGTAAACAGGCTGTAGTAATAACTGGTGGTCGGGAAAGTATTGGACTTCTATCCGAATCAAGTGACATTGGACCAGAACCTGGGGTAAAGCAAGGACAACCCACACATGAGGCGGTAATCAGTGGCACTTCTCCTCCTGAAGTGGCTCCCGGGATGCAGCGGGAGACCCACTCATCTCGGTACAATTAAGAAGAGCCATCCCAGGCATCAGCTCCTCCTACCTACGGGCCAGGTGCTCCTAGGGACATGAACATCCCTGCTTCCTGGTCATCCGTAGGGTTTATGAGGGAGGCAGTCAGACAAGCACATGCACATGGATCCATGCTCTGCGGCTGGGGCTTGGCTGCTTCACAGTTTGTCAAATTAGCTGGAGGTTATTTCACCACAAAAGGACTTGAAAGCCCTCAGGCAGCGTCACAATGATAAAAAAGAACGAAAAAATAAACTGTAGCCCTACGACTGTTTATATAAACTTCTCTTCCCTTCCCACCCTTTTATGTACAGGAAAAAAAAATCCATACAAAGAACATTGGATAATTTTATATAAAACAAGCAAATACAAGAATCTGAAACTTTCTCAAAGGCTGAGCAAGACATGGAGAATCTTTTAATGTCGCATTAAAAAAACACATTAAATACACTATCACACACGCGGGTACTGGGGCAGGTGGGAGAGGGGTCCCTGGACCCCGGAGCGGGTCTGGCCTGTCGAGAAGTCAGGTAGGACTCGCTGTGCAGAAGTCGTAGACTTTCATTTAAAAAGCTCACCCAGACTGCACGACACCGCCCAGTCCCTCCCAAAGTGGGGCCTGAGCCAGGAGCGCAGGTATGGGGTTCTGGGCTCTTTCAACACGTCAGATGGTCCTGGGACGTCTGCAGCCCACAACTGCCACTGTTTTGCTCCACAAAGTGACAAGAAAGGACAAAAGTCCTCCCATCAAGGAATCCTGGTCTCGGAAAACTTCTCACTCCTCCGTCTGGCCCCTCCCCACTCTCTCACCCCCACAAGCATGCCTACACTCACGCACTACTCAGACCCTTAATACTTCTCTCACCTTCAGTTCATATACACAAGCAACTCGGGCCCAGCCTCAAGCCCAGGGCCACGTCTGCAGTCCTGAGACCACGGTTTCCTGGAACGAGGTGGGTGGAGGAACCCTCTGTCCCTGTCTGGGGCTTTGAGGACAAGCTCAGCCAAGGCCAGCCCAAACAGTGTCTAAGCTGCTGGGCCTCACAGCCCCTTGGCTCTGCACGCCCATCTTCTGGACCCCATGGCGACCCAGACTTCACCATCTTCAGATACATCCAGTGGGAGATTCTGGGTGCCCACCAGGAGGGGGCCGTGCTGGTGAACGTCCCCTCCACCTGAGTGTCAGTAGCTCAACGCATGACCCTAGTATGAATTAGGACCGGGTGGCTGTGTCTGGCCACGTACCCTAGCACCCACTAAACTGGGTGAATTATTCTTTCCACAGCTCACCGTGACTTCATACAGAGAATTCCATGCGGGTTTCATATACATATATATATATATATTCTTACATATATATATGTAAATGTGTATGTCCATATGTACACATATACATATATTCACACTCACACATACACACATAAGTATACACACACGTTTTCTGCAGAAAGAAGTCCTGCCACAATTTGGCTTTTTCAGGACAGTGAAATGGAGAACGCAGTATCTCACTCCACCGATCCCAGAAAATGAAGAGTGGTGCTTAAAAAAATGCAATCCCAAAGTTCACTTTCTTCCTTTTTAAAAAAAGGTTAACAAAACTTTTCTTCACAAGTCGAGAGACTTCACTCCATTTGATTGCACCTCTGCAAACGTGTAAAAAATTTTGAAGTAGACTAGAAAACAATGCCGCGATGTGGTCACTATTCCAACGTCACCACCTCCACGGCCTGGCCATCCATGGTGACGGCGCTGTCCGATATCCTGGTGGTCACAGGGGCCATGGCCACCTGCACGGGCCCATTGCCCTGGGCGAGGCTGGTCACCACGGTCTGGTACATGCTCACGGGGATCTGGACCAGTCCTGAGGAGACAAAGGGACATGGTGAGAAGGCTCATAGTCGGGTCCCACGAAGACCACCCTCCGGGGACCACCACTGTCAGCCCTGGGCCACCACAATCCTGAGGGCCAGGCACAAACCAGTCTTTATTTCTACCAATTTGTCTTAAACAGAACATTAGTTAAGTTCTAGAAGAATTCTAGAAGAATGAAGAGATACCCACTCAGGATAGGCCCCCCCCCCTTGTCAGGAGGTGATTCTGTCTCCCTTATTGTAAATCTCTGTAAAGTCCTGTCCTGCCTTTGCAGTCTGTCCACTCAGGCCTGGTCATTGCATACAGCAGGTGTCGGGAACAGGGCTGCAGCCTGGCTGGTGCCTGGTCAGTGCAGCCTTTCCCATTCAGCTGAAGGACCCAAGAATGTCTACTGCTGTCTCCTCTCTGGACTTCTCCTCCACCCATGCCCAGTGTGTCACCAGGGTTCTTGTTCTCAAAACCGGCCATGCTAAGCATGTGGCCAGAAGGGCCAGCAGCAGTGCTATTCCAAAGATCCTACATGTTGGCAAATGACAACCAAGGGTCAGTATCTTGTCTTTAGATTTTGTCTTGGATTCAGTCATCCGAGCTCCAAACTCAGAGACTAAGGTACAGAGTTTACAACCACAGGGGGCCCATCCTAACCAGGAGCTTCCAGCCTTAGCTGGGGGAAGGGTGGAGGCAGAAGCTTCCAGAGCTGAGAGGTAATCTATCACCCTGGCTTATTAGATGGGCCGGGGCTTCCTGTGATGAGGGCTGGCTCACTCCGCGCTGTTAGTAACACAGTCTGTAGTATCGTGGAAGATCTGCCCCTAAATGAAATGAAGATTCAAATGCAAAATTCCTTGTTTGGCTGACACAGCTTTACTTGTTGCGTCCTGTTGAGTCGGAACCAACCCATAGCTGACCCTCCAGTGGGTTTTCAGAAGCAGTAAACGGCATGCGAGAAGACTGCCTGTTTTTCCTCCCATAAAGCAGCTGGCAGATTCAAACTGTGTACCTTTGTGTTGGCAGCACAATTCCTTACCATTAAGCCATGAGCGCTCCTTGCTCTACCCAGAACATGCACACTGACTCGACCCTCTCCTTCAGAGTGGATGCCAATGGCCCATGGTAGTCTAGCCCCTCACGTCAGCCCTTGTGGTCCAAGCTCCCATCTGCTTTGCCCTCCAGCAGAGAGAAGACCTTGTTTTGAATCCCTGTGGAACTCGTCTTGTCTCCAGGGAGACAGGCCTAAAGGGACATGCAGAGTCTCCACCCATGAGACCTCAGCAGCCTGTGCAGGTTCAAGAAATATTTTCTAGACTCACGAGTGAGGCTCCTTCAGAGCAGAAGCTACCAGAACGAAAGAGAATAATTTAAAAAAGGAATCAGGACTTGGGCCAAATAACACTTTTCTGTGATACCACCTTCCATACCTCACTTTATTCAGGAGAGGGGACCACTCGGCCTCCCATTAGGACCCGCAGCCAAGCCTTCTCAGGGTGAATCACTAAGTATCCCGAAAGCTTTTCAGAGATAAATACTAAACACAGGGGTCATTTCAGAACCCCCAATGTCTTGAAATCGCAATTCCATGATTTTCACAAGCAGTGTCAGTCCACCTCCACCTTAAATAAGTGCATCTCTCTCCCAGTGAGGGGATTTCAGGAGATCCTCCCCCGCCCCTGGCACAGGATTAGGGGAAATCGGCTCAGTGTCTGTGACCCAGCAGCCTCTCGGTCCCTGGCAAGGGAGGGGGAGGGGCCTGGAGGCCCATCTGCCCTGAGCTGGGCAGCCGCCCTTGGAGAGGATAAAGAAATGCTGAGGTGCAGGAAACGGGCTGGGCCGCCCCTGCATCTGCTCAGCCCGCCCTGATTAGCCCTAATCTAGAAGGCTCACGCTAATCTAAATTTATATTCTGGGTCAGGTTGACTGATTAACAGGAAGTCTTGCCCCTTCGCCTTGATGGGCCTGGCGTTTGCGCTCTGGTTTTTCGGAGGTCCTGCACCATCCCGGTGGCCGCACGTTCCCAAGTCCTCCAACACCCACTGTGCATCCTTTGCTTTTCTGCTGTGATGCCCGCCGGCCAAGTGGGCAGACAAGCCCTCATCGCACAGCTGTGGGTTCGTAACGATAAATCCTGAAGAACAATCCCCAGTATTTCAAGGCTGTGAGAAATTGCAGGTTCACGGAGTTTACAAAATCTTTCTCTTTAGTTCAAAAGCAAACAGACAAAAAGATTATTGTAATTTTTAAAGGTAAACAGACATTGTGAGTATGTGATTTCCCTGCACTGGATATGCTGGAAAGCTAGGCAACCTGGGTTCCTTATCAGAGCCTTTCTGAAATGCATCCTCACGCTGGCCAGGAACCATTCAGAACACCAGGATCTAGGAGGGAGAAGCCTCTTCTTCGAGTTGCTGCCACTTTTCTCGGGCTTCTTGTGAGGTTTATGAAATGGGCCAATATGGAAGCGGCCCAAAGGTGAGTTAGGGGCCAGTCCCTGGGCTGCCGTTCCTCTCATCAGGAGAACACCACTGTCCTTACACCGTGGAGTGCTCACAGCTGGCCTGCTGTGGGTTTCCTGAGGCAGTCAGTCTGAGGGAGAAGAATGTGCAATTTCCCAGCATTTGTTACAGTAACAATCACTCATTGTCATTGTCACACACTCAGAGATGACCCTCCAGTAAGTTTTCTGAGGCTGTAAATCACATGGAAGGTGACTGTCCAACTTTTTCCTAAGGAGGCCCTGGTGGATTCGAACCGCCAAAGAAGCACTGCCTTTGGGTTAACAGTGCAAATCCCTGCAGGCTACGCCACCAGAGCCCCC